CATTGGTACACACTGTACTCAAACAAATGCTTTGTAAACGTTATTATTTTTGAACAAAATTATGCTCAGGTATGAGTAACTTTAACTTAGTCGTTGAAAACGGGCCAGTCTGTCAGGAACTCCCAGGCCACTTTTCCTCCCCAGTCCCCCCCATAAGCCCATCAAGCTAGTATCGGTACGATCCAGCATGGTGGTGTAGGACCCTTAGCAAAATATGATGGTGTAAATCAGGGGTCTCCAACCTTTTTTTCCTTTAGAGCTACTTTTACAAAATGAAATTGTTCAAGAGCTATGTTTGGCACAAATAACGTTGGGTTACGGGTCTCAGATTTTTTCTCCGCATTGTAGACTCCAGCAGGAAGAAACCCCCCTCAGGGACGTATGCTGCAGCGGGAGGGGTTTCCCAGGAGCTCGGCACGGTGTGCTTCAAGGAGCTATGAAAAGTGTGTGCAAAAATTAACACCGAACAACCATGTGACTGCGCATCATCCAGTCGGCTGCCGTTCGACCATACTGAACCCTAGACTGTTTGATTGACAACCAAGGGGGAGGGTCATCAGAGGATTGATTGGCTATAAATGAAAGTTTGTTTGGCCAGTGACAAATAAAATTTTGCTATTCCTAATTTTTCATAAGCACTAAAGAGATACTTTAAATGAGCTCAAGCGCAACTAGTTGGTGTTAATTCTCCAGTGTGTTTAATTTACTATCACTTATGAAAAAGTTGGGTTGGATCTGAATAAAAATCTGATTTGTCTCGTTCAGACTGTCATAAATAATCCAACCGAATTTGGGTCACTTTTGCCAGCAGKGTGAAAGCAGCCATGCAGGCCCAAAATAAAAATTACTTGTGTGATCTTTATAAATCATTAGTCTGTTTTTTTCACCACTTACAAGAGGGATACAAAGGCATTTAGTGAAAGTGCAAATGTACAAATAATTGATGACWGTACCTGTGCAGGGGGCTGTACAACAGCAGCAGAAGAGCAACTCCTGTGGTAGTGGCAAAGATAGAGCGCATCCAAAAACTCAGCTGACAGAAGTTACAATACTGAATGATGGCCAGGATGGTGGCACAGCTCAAGAACATGGTCACCTGGAATGAKAATATGAAAATAATATTATTATTATTCTAGTTATCAAAGAATGAAAGTGATCGGTAAAAAGCTGTACCTAAAGTAGACCACCATGGCCTTTATAYTTTCACATTTTTGTGTTTTTCCCTTCAAATTTCATCAGATAAAGGCTTCAAAAGGCTTCATGCAACTGAACTTTTTTACTTCTTCATTTTGTTTCCTTTTTATTTTATTTTCAAGTTGACAGAAGCTTAAGAAATACCATTTCCTGCATGATATTTAATTAATGCATGAGTAAAGAAATATTGATGCTGCAAACTTGACAACTTTTTAGGCTGTAAGATTAGTTCAGACTGTGTTTTTCAACAGTGTGGCAACATGGTTTCTTCTACCTTTCCTGCATTTTTGTCCTTTCTTGAACTAATGGCACTAACAGCACAAAGCAACGTCCCATCAAAAATTGACAAAAAAAACCTTCCTTGTTGTAATGATGCGACCTTAAAAGGTTTTTGGTACAAGTTTAACATTTAAGGACTAAATAGATCAGCTGCACATTTTAGATTGTGATCAAAAGTTAGAAGCAGTTTTGAGTCCTTTTTTGTCTTAGTTTAAGTGACAAAGTGCACCAAACATTTTCTAGGAGTGACAGATTTAGACTTAAAGGAGACCAGTTTGGACCAGAAGGAGGCCTAGACCCTTAATACTTTTAATCATACAGATAAAAATATGTTTAAATGGCAATGACTGTTTTCAAAAATTTGCAAGTTACAAATGTCATGTGCAACAATGCAATGCCGTATGAAGCTGTAGGCTTGGGCTGTATGACAGTATTTACCTCGGCACTGAAATATGGTGACGATATTTTAAATTTATGACAGTATATTAATACTTTGGTATAGAGGACCGAATCTGACATAATTAGAAATAAAAGCAGAAATTTATATACAGCGGGTAAAATAAGTATTGAACACGTCACCATTTTTCTCAGTAAATATATTACTAGAG